ACCTCTGAACTTTTATTCGATTCGAATCTCGGCCTAGGAAATTGCTCTTCTGAGGGCTTCTCGCAGTTTACCTCAGTCGGTGCAAGAAAATTCCGGGGAAGTACCATGATTAGGACGCAACAGATTCTTCAATATTCATCTTAGCACTCGCTGTATACATAAAGAACGTGCAAAAACCAGCGTTACATAAAAATTCGAAGAGGAAGTTGCAATTTTGCCTAATTCTCGAGTCAATTCCAGCGTGTGGCGAACAAAGGAAGGTTTGGCGTTCGGCGGATGTCCATTTTGAACGCCTGTGGAGCGGGTCATTGCAGAGAGATTATCAGCTCGTGTCTTGCAGCGCACTTCTTCAAAACTGATTAAGGGGACTAACAATCGTTCACTCTCAGGAGATGCAAGTGCGCAAGTCACGGTGTCATCTGAGCAGCAACCGGGTTTGGCTGGGAAGGGGAGGGGACTATTTTATTTATTTATTTTTTTTGCAATTTCATTTTTATTAATTCAAACTGGCGACAGGCTCGTGTGCGGGAGTGTGACAGTCGCTGCGCGCGCAGCTTAGAGGGAACATTGTGCTTTTGCATAGCAATTGCTGATACTGAAACTCGTCCATTGTACCTAGACAATGTTATAAAGGTGTACAGTAAACCCTCCTTAATCCTGATAATCTATATCGAAAAATGCTGTTCACAGTTGAGTACATACTTTATAAGATACATGGGACATTTAGGAAGGTAGATGAGTCACTTCTCTCTTCAGACAAAACTCGACAGTTTCTTCAAACTCGCAATATTACGTTAAAAACAAGTACAGCTACTGAGTCTTCTATCGATGAGTAAATGTATCGTCTGTTTACAGTTCTTAAGTAAAGGCTCTACAGTGATATATTATTTATTCTCATCAGCACATACCTGTATTATCGAAATTTCGATTTGTGTTCTAATATTTTGTCTTTCGGAGGTACCTTTTGCTTCACCAATTTGGGGATTAACCTGTCTGTGGCTGTTAGTGAAGCATTTTGAAATGCGTAGTGACGCCACCTGTTAGCTTGCATATGCTGTCATGGCACAACCTGCATATTCACTCGATACCATAAAGAATCGTGGCATCTCCGTTATAAGAGCCAACTGGATTATGCTGCCAGTTTATTGTGAGACTCATACGAAACAAACAGCTTTCCTTAAGAACTAGCATATTTCAAGGCAAGTTTTCTTATCAGAATAAACGTAAATTAATTTCTGTTGATTAGAATTCTTTCAAATTCGCATAAAGCGAGACCGCACTGCATGTGCGGAAAATGCATAATTTCTTGATGTTAAAAGCAGGTGGTATATATGGTAACCACTGTGCTTTAAAGGGATAAGTCTTTGTTCGGAAAGTTGCTTGAAACTGGATTATACGTATGATTCAAATATGGCTTCTCACAGCACAGCACAGTGTCTTCTATGATGTGATGCCGTGTAGTGTGGTAGAAAGACCGATTGCGATGAGCCCGCTGCCTCCATGTACAGGCTTGGAAGATGGTAACAACACATTAACGCGCTTACAACCATTTCTGAGCCAGCTAAATCCAATAAATATTCACCCCGGTTTCAAATATCTTCGCGAATAAAACGTACAATGCACGCAGAATACCTGGCAACTCATCGCCACCATAACGATGCCTGGCGTCACTGTCTGCGATGTTCGCTTACACATCGGGTCAAAGCTCGCCGACGTTCCCACGGAGTTATCGATCTGGCTGGAGCAGAATGCATCATCTATCCACCAAAGGCAGAGATTCTTCATAACGCGTCTTCTGGGTCATGACACCGTGTAGTCTGGGCGACTGAAATTTATTTAAAACGTTGATACCAATCTATCAGATTACACGGTGTCATATTCCAGTATACAATATGAATCATGAAGGTTTAATGGTCGTGTTCACACCATCTCGATTTTTACATGCAACAACAAAATAAATGTAAAGCTGTTCTGTGATTAATCTATCACCACGCCCTAAAAACGTACAGCTCCACACATTCTTAACCTGGGCACTAGTGCCCTTCAAACACTACAGCATGTGTGCGATTTCAGGCTCGTACGACTGACTGGTGTTGAACCCCTTCATGTGGTCATCATCAGGTGTTAAAATTTTTGGCGAAGAAATGAATTGCTGTCCTCTTGTTAAATAAGTCCCCTCGGTGCGCCTATGTGAGTTAGTTGCTGGGTTGTGCTGCGTCTCTTGTTCTTGAATGTATTCAGGCATCCGATAACAAGACACGCAGCACAGCACACAACCCACCAGCTCTTACACATACGCGCACCGAGGGGACTTAACATATTTAACAAGAGAAGACAGCAGTTTGTTTCTTCGCCAAAAAATTTTAACATCCGATGATGACCACATTGGTCCGGAGATGTTAGCCCTGTGTCAAACCTTCACTACACTGAAGGCTCGGATTTTGTGTCGGGGTACCCCCCCCGTAACCAAAGGATCCCGTTTTAAGGTGCCGGATACTCTCCTCTCGCCAGTAACACTCCGTACTCTCACCGGAGTGTACCTAGGGCCACCTGCTTGGAGGCTGAGAGTTCGGATCTGCCAACAGGGGCGGTCCAAATATTAACATAGTTTTTAAAATATTCTTCTGCCACTAATACTCCAAGAAAACCCGTAAAAAAGTTCTTAAAAGGCTTACGTCTCTATGCAAAATCTTTCCGGCAAGTATGCCGGTGACATCCACTCACATAACGCCCCACATTTAAGGCCCTCCACTGGAGGGGGGGGGGCCTTGAAGTCGCAATCTCTTTAAACTATCAACTCGAAACATTTTAGAACGTCGCGCTGATATAATAATTGCCCTGGATTACTACCATCTCTTCTCGCGCTATCGTGGCTCGACACTGGTCCTACATTTCGCTTCCATAAACCCTGAAAATAATGCGATTATTAGTTACGTGCAGGTTGTGCCTGGGCTACTTAGCGTAAACTTAAGTCACTCGAGCGGCCATAACCTGACGGCCGCCCTGTTTAAGCCTCAATACTCTGCGCGTGTCCACTATCTGGGCGCCGATTTTTTCTTGTGGGGGTGAATGNGTTAGAGAGATTTTCGAAAAACGTCCATTAACAGACAACAGTGCGCGCGTTCATTGATAACGCGCTGGAGACTTGAGACTCGAGCGCGGGTGTGGGACAGCCGCTGCGCGCAGCTTAGAGGGAACAATGGCCGTAGTGAGTACACTACAACCAGAATGGTTCACAGGTATCGACAGGCAAGTGGCTGGCACTTCGCCTTGAAGATGTAGACAGTAATGATCTCAGAAACGCCAGAAATACGGGCCATTTGTATGTGGTTCCATTATCGAAACAGAGAACCAACATCCGGGTACTGCAATGTTACGCCGAGCAAGCACCTTCATAGTGTGTACACATGAGCCAAGCATCTGCAGAGTTCACACTGACGTCCTAAACAGCAGGGGGAGAGTAACAAGAGACCTCTTGATTTCTCCACGAAATCGCCCCTCAGCTAGAGGCAGTACCTTTAATTTCCATATATATGGAGCAATGGCGCACTATTTGTACCCAACTGTGGCATCTCGGCTTCCATCATGTCAAAAGTGCCAATTGTTTGGAGCAAGGCCGATAGGCAAGGCAGCCCAAGCAGTCGGCACGGAATACGTGGCCCTACTGCTCAAAAGTGCAAGAACCTGAAGAAGGCAAACCGTTGAGCCCTAATTTCTTCTCCAAAGGGCTACTGGGACAAAATGCCTGTCATTCTGGTGATTATGTGGAGAAACAGTTTGTGAACTATGCCTTGTTCTCCTGGAGATCCGACTTGAAGTTAATAAGTACGAACACAACACAGTCGGGCGTTACCGAAAACTCTTTGTATATAACTGCACAATCAAGTCAGTTTACGTTAAATTCATCCTGAAATCCTGTTCTCTGAAGTCTGACACAATGGGCAACAACAGTTTTCATGGGCAAATAGAAACCGCGACTTGCCTACTCTCCACAATTTTTTTTCTCCTGATACTTGTTACTGCAAGCGTAGTCGGTATTGCCAGACGACCGAGGGGTCAGAGTCCCGGTACGGGCAATAATTTTCTCTTCTCCACGTCGTCCTGACCGGCTCTGGGGCCCACCCAGCCTCCTATCCAATGGGTGATAGGGTTTATTTCCAACGAGGTAAAGCGGACGGGGCATGCGGTTGACTACTCACCTACATATAGTGCAGAGGTCAAGAATATGTGGATCTATATATCCATTCCTTCATATGCGTTCCTGGCGCAATGTTTAACTAGATAAGCACAGGGCCACCTTTACCTCACTTTTTATTGGAACAAGGAATAAAATAGATTGCACGCTTGGTATTCAACATACTTTTTTTTGTTACAAGCAAGCACGTAGCAGAATTAGCATATAATTAACTACACGGAGATGAGTCCTCATTGAGAAGCTAAGAGTCGCTCAAATTTCCCGACTTTTATGGAACCTGGGGGTATTCTAGGAAGCATTACAAGTACATGTTGCCTAGAATAAAACAAGGCAATACACGAGACCTGGGGTTCCTACAGGAGTGCGAATATTAAGGTCATGTCTTCTGGAGTTTGATAGAACTGTATCAAACATTTCGGTGGAATCTGAGGAGCGGGACAGCTGCCTATCTACTAAACTGGAAGGTGCTGCAACCCAGAAGACCGAAACCTCACTGCTTACACAGACGCAATATCATCATTCGGCGTTAATGAAATAAAACGACGCAAGTGCACTGACGTTTATTTCCCTGTTCCTGAACATGCATTTATTGTTAAAGCGGCATATTTTAGGAACAAAACGTTGTTAAAGCACAGCATTCTTAGGTCTGATACGAATTATAAAGCTATAATGTTCATATATATGATTCTTTTGTGTATTTTATACAAAATACAACAATCATTTAGAAAAATGTTAAATCATGCCAAAACCAATGAGGAAAAATTATTTCATCTATGGTTTCTACTTAAATAAATATGGCATCTTATAAAAATCGAACTGAAATGGTATTTATAGACTCAATAAAACAAGGTATACAACAGTGAACAAAGCACAAGCCAGCAAATTGTAATTCTGACCATTTCTCCCAATCATTAGTTAATATACTATAAACTTTCATCCACAAACCATATTCCAGTGACAAGAAACATTTACTTTATACAAGGGATGGGCAAACTTCTTCAGTACTGGCCTATGAGACAATTCTCAGACAAATGCTCTTGCAGACAACTGCACAGATCGAATACAGGTGTTAAAAAGGACCACAAGCCACATAACAATGTCATACTAAAAACTCTGCTGGAAATGGTTCTTTATATATTTTTTTCATTCGATCAGTTTCGGTAGATGTGAGACAACGAATGTTCTTTTTATCCAAAACAGTGTTTCAGTGCAGCTACATGGTCCACTAGTTGGATCGCCACTTGCTCTGGGCTCTCATGCAAATTCAGTGTCGTGTTTTGGCCGATCAGGTACCACCATATTGGTTTAAATAATATATTTTCAGGCATACGGCTCTCACGGGATATATAAAACTACAGTACATGATAACAGTTTACGTGAAACATTGCATATACCTGACAATGGTCCTGTGCGACCGAAACATATCACTGAATTTACATAAAAGCACAAAATTGTTATCCAACCACTGGCCTATCAAGTTGCTTATAAAACTGCATTTTGTGTGTATCAAATGAACAACTAATGCAACAGGATGCCAGTATAATATTATGTCCTTTGGGCATCTATCATCCAACATGAAACAGAATTAATTACAGCAGGCTGTGGTTCTATCTCAACACTGTGTATACTAGTAACTGTGAAGCCGCATGTAGTGAGACCACTGAAAGAAATCCACGGGTATTAAAGACGATTGTGTTCAAACCGTCCTCCTTCCTGTATGCTGTTTATTCTTATTGTAGGAAGAGAATGGCGAGACAAATGCAAGGGAGAATGGGAGGAACGAAGCTGGAATGAGCTCTAGGAAGGGGTGCAGGGAGGTTTGATCCACACGATTTCTTCCTGTGGCCTCAGTACAGACCATTTGATAAGACGTCACATTCAGTCACAAAAACCAATCAATTCACTACGGGCTGCGTCCATCCCCACACTGAACCCATATGAGATTTAAGAAGCCCAAGACAGTTCTGATGTATGTCAAGACAGAACTTAGAGCAGGACACAATCTTTAAGATTTCCTCTAATTATATATATACAGTTCACATTATATGAAGACAAAGATTTACACCTCTGTGACCACACTGCCAAGGTACCTCAAGCAGGGATCAGACATGTTGCACCATTCCGAGCAATAACACACAAATATCTGAACAAAAATGTACAATTTGTTTCATAAATTTTATTGGGGGCCCTGAAGGGGAACAGTACATATTGTTTCTTTTTCTCCTCGTTTGTTGAAAAATCATGCAAAAAAAATTGCAATACAATAGTCAAATCAGTACAAAATGTATAAACCCAACATGAGATTTGATTGCAAATTTGTTTTACAATTGGCACACATCTGCCCTTGCCTTGAGGGACCCTCAATTCTTGAAAGGGACGTCAAGGCAGGGCAGTTCCACCTACAACCAATACATAAAGGCAGAGCAGAGAAGGATGTGAAATGAATGAAAGAACATGTTATATAACCTGGCTACATTCCATTGGCTTACACTGAAAAATTAAGTTTAAAAAATAAGCATATCCCCCATTTTTATATTTTTAATTTTGGGAACTGTCAAAGAGATCCCAGCAGGCAATAATATCAGCCACTCAACCCCCCAAAAATTACATCACACTTTATACAATTTTATTTTTGCTAGACGACTTCATTTTTTTGTCATCAGAATTATTTTTTCTTCTTCAAATGTTTACAAAGCTATTTGTTTAAATTAGACCGTAGTAAAAATTAAACTTCTCACAGAATCCTTCTGCAACACAGCGCTACACAGCTTGGTGTCGGAAACTTTCTTTCTTGTTCAATTTTTTTAAGTATGCCAACCACTTTTTTACAATGGTCTGCAGGCTTCAAACATTGAATCATATCACCATACTACATGCAGTGGTACCAACTCCGCCAATATTTTTCATGCAAGCACTTGACTTTTGTTTTACAATGACAGAATGATTACAGTGGGTTACAAGCAGGTTCAGATTTTGTTATGCGTTACGTTTTGTAATGAAAATTTTCACACAGCAAGAGGAAGAGGGGGAAAGGCAGTGAAGGGGGTACAAAGAACAGACTAGAGATTATAAAAACCCTAATTACTCAGTATCAAATGCAATGGGCATACTACAATCAGCTACAAAACTGGTTAATTTAATTTCTCTGGAAATTCTTCAAGGCACACCTTGGCTTCAGACTCTTCTTTCTTTACTGAAAGAGATGTCGCTCATAAAACGCTGTCAGCAGATGTTCCTTCAAGATGTACCTTGGAGAAACGGCCCATAAAATGCTCAATGCCTCAATTTAAGACATTCACTCAAGCGCTGCTTGTCACAAATATCCGGACACAAGGTATTGAGAATGAAGAAAAGTGCAGTTCAAGATTTTCCACCAGATGAGTGTGAACTCAAACTGAATCATTTTAGCCAGAAACATGATGCACATTGCCGACCGACCGCTGTTTGAAAAAAAAAAAAAAAGACCATTTCTCTGATGTTTTGCATTTATCACCACAGGAGAACAGTCCTATACATTATCTGAAAACAAAACAAGAACAAGAAAGTGAGAAGCATAACAACCAACAAGCATCATTATAGCAAGTAAGGAAGAGGGCAGTCACCTCTAGTATCCACAGGACACTAAGTAATCCCCTAGCTTTTCCACTACAGACGCTGCTTGCTGGGGTTGGATTGGATCTTCGTATAGGGAGACGACGACGGCTGAAACAAAAAGACGACCACATGAGAACAGCTCACAAGTAAGTATCCCAATCTTGATTCATACAGTTTCCTATACCCCACATACATGACAGACAGTCAATGCATTCTCATTCTCAGCATTTATGTCCATATACACAGCGTGTCCAGATTCTTTTAGGACTGTGTTCATTAAAATACAAGACGTGAATTATTTTCAAAATTTCACTCTTTTTATTCAAAATAGTCCCCTTCTGAATCAATGGAAAAGTTTTCGAAAAGTCACTGTACTCCTTTCGTGGAATCGCATTTAAAACTGCAGTAATTTCCTTTGGATGCCCTGGATGGTGTCGTGACGGTCTCCTTTCATCGCCAATCTAAATTTTGGGAACAACCAGAAATCTGCTGGAGCCAAATCTGGTGAATACGGAGGATGATCAAGGACTGTGATCCCTTTTCTGGTCAACAAATCGGGCACGATCTTCGATTTGTGGGATGGGGCATTGCTCTCGATATGCAGGTCGAATTCCAAGAATTCTCGCCCACAAACGATTAAGGACTCCGAAATAATAATCAGAATTCACTGCTTGACCTTCTGAATGATTCCTTTGGAATCGAAGAAAACGGTTAGCAGTGTCTTTACTCGCCTCTTTTGCATGCGCACTTTCTTTGGTTTCGGCTTCTTTGGGCTCAACCACGCTGCACTCACACACCGCGCATAGACCTTCCGTTTGCCCAAATCCTCGGTCAAAATTTGATGCACAATACTTTTTGGTATTCCCAAAGGCTCCTCGATGAGTCTTGTGTAACCGCACCATGCAGGAACCTCAGCAATGTTGTTGATTTACATTTTTAATTACAATGTACTACATGTAAACGAACTATACTACTGTTAACAATAGATGATACAGAATTGACCCCAGCACCAGCAGACGCCAAGGACAACATCTGGTCTTTCTGAGGGACAAGCAAGCTGCAGGTCACTTGAAAACCCAGAACGGAGCAGGAAGTATCCCGCTGTGTTTTCTGGGGATTTCAATGCTTAACTTCGACGGTGCGAGCCTTTGAAAATTTGAGACTTGACAGATACGAGTCGCAATAATTTTCGAAGGGGCGTACCGAGCGATCGTTAGCGAACCTCCATTTATTTGAGAGCTGTCAGAGGGACCGTGTTGTACTTAGGCCCAAATTAACATAGATGTGGTTAGGGATTGGCTGAATGCAAATGAGAGAAACACCCAAATTTTAGGTTCAGCCAATCAGCAAAATTTCAGAGGAGAGGAATCCATGCGTTCCCGGAACCGTCGGGACTTCTGCCTCTCCAGAGCAGTCAGTCATTACAAGGGAATAAGAGCGGTGAGTCATCAACAGCGAGTAACAGGAGTGAGTAGCCAAAGGGAATAACCGGAGTCAGTAGTAACCTGCCGGACGTTAAATCGGTGTTGGCCCGAGTCCGGTGTACAAATTCAAAGTGCTACAGCCTGGTAATGGGTAATTGTAGTGCACATCTACAATAAAGAGCAACAGTGTTGGTGAAGTGCGAGTTTTTGAGTGTTTTCTCTCTCCTTGTGTGAGCAAGGCCCATTAGTCGCCCTGAGACAGAATCTCGTCCTACCGTCTGAACCCCAAACGTCCGCCTATCCATATCCCCACCTTTGCTTTCCCCGTTCAAAATTCGTGGATTTCACCCAAGTCCACTGGCGCCCATAAAAATTCAAATTCAGAATAATCCCACACCCTACCCTGAACCAGACAGCAACAAGGAAGCGGCGGATGAAAGTGCAGACCACAAAGGGGCGAACGTGAAGGACAGGTATAAGTGACGACCAACTCGTGAGGCTTGAAGTCTCACTGAGCGGTAACGACGAAGAGGAGGGAGATAATACTTGCAGAAACACATCTGTCTGATGAAAGGAATTTGGTCACTTCTTTTCACATTTTCTTCAGTGAGACTTGTTCTTAGCTTTGGTGCCCGTGTCCTCCCTGCCATCACGAAATACAGCATACCATCGAAAAATGTTCCAGCGACTCCATCAGTCACTACCGTACACATTTTTCATCATTTCGTACACTTCTCCGGCTGTTTTTCCTAACTTTAAACAAGATTTTATGTTGGCTCTCTGTGCAACCGCCATTCGCCGACGAGTGTCAGAACAGTACTGATACATTCAAGGTCAGAACACATGATGTAGCGATGCTTGCGCTTTCAAATTATAGACAGCCACAGCTGAAACGTCAAGAATCTTAATGCCATAACTCGCCAACAGATGGCATTGCAGGGCAAAATAATAATAATAAAAAAGAGTCCTAACGGATCCTGGACACACCGTGTATGGGCACAGAAGCACACGTACAGTGCTGAAGCAGCAGCACTTGCACCTACAGCCCTACAAGATAACATCAATGGGTGAATTGAAGGGGGCGACAAGCGTGTTGAACACTCCTCGTGGATTACTGACGTAATATTCTGGGCATCATATTTTTTTCTTTACCGATGTGGCATGGTTTCATTTATCCGCCTGTCGACATAAAAAATCCGCGTTTCGGCAGCAATTTACTTGCAGGAAATCAAGGAAACACACACCATTGCACGATCATAAGGCGCAATATCTCGAAATCGGATAATCGACCCCCATATCCACAGATGACTTCCAACGGGAAGGTGTTACTGCACACAGAACCCGTGCTTTTTCACGACGCTACGGCGCGATGCGTTCGGCGACAGAATAGTTACGAAGAGCATCTGGACACCACGGTCGCCCGACCTCACACTCCTGATTAATCATCTGTGAAGAGCAACGAAGGGCGCAGTTTACAAATTCAATCCTCCGATCTCCTTGAAGTGGAGGAAGCCACCGTAAATTTCATCAGGAACATGCCTCTGAAATCGTCCCGTCTTTGGAAACAATGTATGACGTGAAGACGCATGTCTAGAAGTTCGTAGGGCAGCTTCCGAACATTTGCTGTAACTCGGCTATGAGAAATGTATCGTATTAACGTACATGGGCTTCTGGCTCATTCGCCCTGCATTAACAACGTAAAACTGGTATACTTCATTAAAGAAAAAGGCACGAAGAATAAGCATTTTATTCTGATTTTCTCTCAGACTTCTTATTTAGAACGGGGGTCATAAAACTGTGGGGCGTGCAAGGGTACATGAGAAGTTAATTTTGGGGCGCAGAAAAAATCTCACCTTTATCCTGTAATAAATATTCACGCTGAAAGGCTGTTACTCCGTTTAATTTTGCCGAAAATTTACATTCAAAGCAACTGTTTTTCTCAATTGTCGTTAATCTCAACTGCGTAATCTTACTCGTGCTTTCAAAGTCTCCTTCCTTTTTCATTACTCTCTCCAACCCTTACAAAAAATGTTGCGAAAGCGCCTAACGGCATTAACCCAGCCTTGCAGAAAGCTATATACCCAAAACTCTGTGCTGCGTACGTACACAGAGGATTTGGTATTAGAACCGTATTCATAGAAAGGCTGATAGGACTGTATATTAATGCACAGTTTGGCCTGCACATTTGAAGACTGATGCGGTCGGCCGGGCAATCGTTTGGACTGTAGCAAACCCGTCAGTTCTACCTGCAGGACGTAGCCCGTGACGTGTCTCTCAGCAATATAGGCTGGAAGACCGTGACCGTGGCATGCAGCCTGCCGGTTTATCTGCGCGTGTATGGGGAAGGAAAAGGAGAGGGCAAATTGTGAAAGTTTTGCCTGTGAGGTCGATCGGAAGGCCAAACTGTGTGTGTATGGGGCGGCCTTAGTGCACTGTTCAATCTTTTGTGTATATCATCCGTGGGTTAGTTCCTTACTGAAAGTATCAGGCTCCTTCTCATTTGATTCTAATTGTAATTAACATGTAGAGGTAACAGTGACATCCAACATCAGCAAATACTTCTACCACTACTTCAGCGAAAATCACTACAAAGGAATCAAACATCTGTCAACTGATAGATCACAAACACTTACCGGTGGAACGCAGACATACTCAAAGAATATACTATTGACATACAGACCCACTGTCAAGTAACAGCTGTGCAGACAAGCGATAGTACAACAACCGATGCTAGGGAACAGCTCTGTAGACGTTTCCCCAGAACGTAAGAACACAATAACGGAAGAGACGTTTTCTGTGTGGTCTGTACTGGGGCTATATAACGAGGGCTAGTGGACTGAGCCTCTGAGCCTAGACTGACAGGGACCTTGTATATATTGTACACAGAAATAGGAATTAAGATTAAATTTCTAAATATATGTAAATACTGACAATGGACTTACTGACACAGACCCTACCTCTCGTTAGAGAGGGCGCCTGACCAGGACAGTAACTTTCATATAAGAAAAAAGAAAAATCTGGCCATGAGCACCAGTCAGGGCTCGACACCAAGACAGACAGACTGACGGACCGTCAGTCGCAATGTGACTTGGACTTGGAGAGGATGTTTCCCATGTGGAGGCGGGGTCGAATACCTCCACCGTGACCCTTCGAGCCGTAGGAGGCGACGAAAGGCGAAGCCTCAAATCTCACAAATTAAAATATGGCCGCGAGCCCCAAGGGACTCGGACCCAAGAAAGATTGCGCTGGCAAGGACCAGCAGCATATGTAAAAGACAGACCCGTCCTCTCGTCAGAGAGGGCGCCCCACAAAAGCAAGATCGTAACTGTACTTCTTTTGGCTTATTTTGGACTTCACCCATCGTCCGGTATATAAAAGACAAAAAACCACGACGTTTCGGAGACTGGCTCTGTCTCCGTCTTCAGGTGGATAGGGAAGGTTTAACCTACTCAGTTGGGCCCCTTAGAATGTGCTAGTCTCAATCACTGGACCTATACCGGACGATGGGTGAAGTCCAAAATAAGCCAAAAGTAGTACAGTATACACCATCGTCAGAATCCTTTCAAGATCGTAACTGTCAAATGGTAATAAATATCTGGTCATAACAAGACTTACTGACCGTCAGTCGCAATGTGACTTGGACTTGGAGAGGATGTTACATAAGGACTATGACCGCAAGGGTTC